TTTTTATTTACGAACAACAATTAATTAACTATAGACACGTTTTGTGGTATGCAAAAATATTTCATAAGTTTTATTCCAACGATTAACTTTTTTTTGTAGATCTGACATAGAATGTTTTTTTATTTTTTTCATATTTTTATTATTATAAATTAGATTCCTTCATTTTGTTTTTAATTAGAATCTTTTAGAGAATGATCTTTTAGATTATAAGATTTGAATCTCTTAAAAACAAAACTAACTATTTAATGATAATATTATTTATATAAGATAAATAAACAAAACAAAAAAAAAGAAGTATAATCTGTGCTATAAAAAAAAAAAAAAAGGAAATGATAAACGCATTGTAATTATAATATAATAAAATTACATAAGCTTTATATTCGATTACAAAGATACGTTGTTTAAGAATTTTGAAAAACTTAAATGAAGTGTTAAAACTTAAACAACAGAAATATAGATCTTTGTATAATCCACATATACTGCACGCATGTACTATATATATAAGTGCATCGTTGGAATTATATTATACTTTAATTAATATAACATGAATCTCAATAAGAAAAAGATTTATTAAACTTATATAAGATAATATGTGAAATTTACTTTATTTCATATTTATATTTAAAGTGAAATAATATTAAAGTAAATTTAAAGGTAATGGTATTGTACAGATATCTAAGAAACACAAGTATAAAATCATATATCTGGTGAAACGATTATTGTGACTAGGTAATCATAATAATCTTGCTAATTGCTATACAATTAATTAACTTCTTGCATTATAACAACGCATGAGACTTGTCATATACTTTATTGATCTAAATATGAGAATAACTAAACATGGGTTTTATTCCTGTCAATTTTGGCATGCATCTCAATGCGTTTATTTATACTGCAATAGGTTTATATTTGAAATGATTACGTAATGCATTTGTTACTACAAGAATAATAATATATAATTGTTATAATAATTACATGATAAATGAATCATTTAAAAAAAAGAAAAAAAAATAATAATAACAAAAAAAAAATGAATTGATGATATTTTTGTGTTAAATTATAAATGTCCTCTTACATATTTTCCTTTGGTAAAATAATAATAATAATAATTGATAATAGATTTGGAGAGATATTGCTTGAAACATTAAAAATTTGTTCAGGAATTTAAAGAAATCTTTATTATACAAATAATAATAATAATAATAATAATGTACATAAACATGTATAGTTTATAGATTACTTTAATCTCCATTTTATAAAAAATTTCCATATAACTAATATGTTTATCATTAGAATTATATATGGATTGTGCTATAGTGTTTGTTTTACATACACTAAAAACCGGAAAATATCCACTTGCACCTTTTATTCATTATTTTGTCTCGCTATGCAGAATTTATTTTGTTTAAATATTATTGTATTATTTTGAAAATTATACAAAGTTTCGTTTCAACCAGTCTTACTACAATTTATCGATGAAGAATTGATTTATTTTCTAAATGTTTTTTTTTTTGTTTTTTTTTTTACAAAAGATTCGCAAAAAGAGATTCGAATACAATTCCAATGCATCTACAGATCAAAAATGCTTTCTTCTTCTTATTATTTTTTTCTTTTTTTTTTTTTTATTATTATACTATTACTTTTAAAACGAATAATATTATTTAATAGCAAAAATATATGTAATATAAATATGTGACACATAATTTTTCTTTTTTTTTTTTTTTTAAATCTATTTTAAAGGCAAAAGCCAAGGTATTTTATTTTTATCATTTAATTTATTTCATTTTAATTTGTTGTTTCATTTTTTTTTTATTATTATTATTATTATTGTTCATTACGATGCAAAGGAATTTTTTTGGCTATTTAGTGCGGACAAATTATAAACTAATAATAATAATACATCTTATTAATGTTTTTTTCAAAAGTGTGAGTTGACAAATTTTTTTTTTTTTTAGCGCTTAATAACACACGTGGCCCCCATGTTTATACATATCTCATTAAAATGATCTATCAGCAGGAAAAAAATAATATTTTTTACAAATATTCATCTATGTTCGTTCAATAATAATAATAATAATAATAATAATAAGTAAATTTAAAATTGATAATAGAAAGTGTGTACAGTAATTTAAACTTGCACATCGTTTTAATAAACATGTAAAAGTATCATCTACTTTGGAACGCAGAATTGAATGAGAAAAGAAGAAGAAGAAGAAGACCAAAAAAAAAAAAAATGAAAAATAAAATAAAATTTAAAAAGAGGAAATGAAGGACATGTAATATAAGCAAATTTTATTAATAATAACTTATTTTTCCAGCTTACTTAGATTGATCTATTTTTTTCATTTTTTTTTTTTCATTTTTTTTCATGTATATTAGATCAGTGTTGTTCGCACTTGTTTTACGTATATGTATGATAATTATAATAATTTTACATCGGGCGGCAGGAAAAATATTTTTGCATAATAATAATATCAATATATATAAGTAATCAACAATTAATTATGAGAATCGAGTCTATATTTTGTACATAAATGTGATTTCTTTACTTTTACTTTTTTTTTCTTTTTTTTTTTTTAATTCTTATTATTATTTACTCCGCATTTATTCAACAAAAAAAAAACCCCTATTATTGTATTGCTATTAGTTAAATAGTAGTTGCAGTAGTAGTAGTAGTAGTAGTAGTAGTAATAGTAGTAGTAGTAGTAGTATTCACTATATGCACAATGAAATGTTTGTAATATTTAAAAAAGTGCTATAAATTTTGTTATAGTGTGTGTGTGCTCTCAGGCTTTGGTTTTCTTATATTTTTTTTTTTTATTTTTTATTTATTTTTTTATTTTATTAATACAACGAATACTCTCTCTCTCTATGGTTATATGTTTATTTTAATCGATGTCTCTTATCAATTTTTCTTTTTTAATTATATAATAATAGGAATAAATATGATGAAAAATTGTACGACATTTAATAAGATTTGTGTGTTTTTTTTTTTTTTAAGAGAAAAAGACAAACGAATAGATATGGGGTTGTGTGTACAACAAATGGTGAATCTATGAAAGAAGACATTTTTGTTTTGAAACAAATGTTTTAACAAATGACGTGTTTTTTTTCTTTTTATACTAACAATTAGATTATACATAAGCTTTTTAGTAAATTGTTTATACGATATCAATGATAATATATTATAAAATAGAACAGAAAATGTTTGATAATTAATATATGCACATTCCTTAATGTTTTTTTTATTTTTTTTATTTTTTTTTTTTTATTTTCTTCTTAACTCTCATGACTCGAATGATATTATTATTATTATTGTTAATTTATGATTATATTTTTTATCTATCGAGCTCATATGATTAATAATTAATACTTATGATTTTTATATACAATGGAGCATATAAAAAAGTATGATTTTTATGGTGTGTGTGTGTGTGTGTGGAATTAACATATAGAATTTTCTATATCACTTTCTCTTCAGTAATTTTAAACGTTTGACAAATATTTTTATTGCGTTTTGAATATTGTATGCAAAAAAAAAAATAATAATAATAATAATAATAATAAGAAAAACAACTGAAGAGACATTGGAATGCATTTTAATGAAGTTTTCATTTTTGTACAAATACTAAATGCATTTATAATGGAGGATTACAATAGGAAAGAGATTTAAATAAAAGATAAAACAAAGTTTTATAATTAAGAAATTGAAAGAACATTTAACATTTTTATTTGGATGGATCGATTGCAAAAAAAAAAAAAAAGAAAAAAGAAAATTAAAAAAAATGAATTATTAATTGATACTACATTAATATAGCCATAGAGCGTTTTCATCAGGATCAAAAAGTTCAATCAGTTAAAGAAAATAACCCATGACATTCCAAAGCCCGATATTTATTATCCTTCTCTAAATGTAGATCATATTTTTTTACACAAAGTATTCCTTTTTTTTTATTCTTTCATTCGTTCTTTCGTTCTTTTTAGTTAACTTAGGATCTGTTGTTTTTTATTTTTTTTATATCAAAGTTACACATAATGCGAATTATCAAAGGAACGAGAATTTCTTTTTCTTTTTTTTTATAGACTTACAAATATAAATATATATATATATATATATATATATATATATATATATATATGTATGTGTAATGCATTAGCTTATCTTTTTTTTATTATTATTGTTGTTGTTTTTTTCTTTCCGTTGTAAGTATATAAAAAACTTGGAATTTATAATTCGATTGAACGGTTGTTTAATATTTAATTCGTATCTTTTTGTTCAGTTTCATCTTATTTCTACTTAATTATGGGAAAAAAAATATTTATATTTATATATATATATATATTAAAGAAGGATTTTTGTAAGATACACAACATCTCTTTGATAAAACAATTTGTGTGTGTGTGTGTGTGTCGAAGAAATATGGCAACCTAATTCTAACTATTTGTTTGTCCCTTGTTTTATTATTAATACTTGCATATAGTAAAAACGTTGGCATTGTGTGTATGTCGTGGTGGTTGTTGTTGTTGTTATTGTTGTTACATAATAACACGTTCCTTTAAACTGATAGTATCTCAATGAGTAGTATAGCTGCAAGTCGTACGATAATTTTGCCCCTTATATTTTGTGCGAATAAACATGTCCATTTTATTTTATTTTATTATTTTTTTTTCTTTCTTTCTATTAAGATTATCTTTGAATTTCAATTAAAGTGAAGTATATGAGAAAGTTTAGGAATTGGATATAAAAAAATAAAGTAAGAGAGTAATGGGAATTATTATGCGATATCATTGATATAAACCACTTTCATGTACTTCACTAGAACTGGAAGACTACATTATGGACAGTCGATGAATTCAAAGAGTGATTATTATTTCTGATTTGTAGAAAAAGTGAATTATACATTAGATTATATATTACGTTAGTGTATCAATGTTACTGTATACTTAGTGTTTACAACCACATTAAAACATTGTAATAATATACAGTCAGAAGAAGGCATGTTGTCAATCCCATAAGGATGTACAATTTCCTTAAATACCACAGTTAAATGTTTACGAATGTTAAAATATTTCAATTTATTTTACGACGTATTATTTTTCTTCTTTCTTATTTTTTTTTCTTCTTCTTTTGTTTTTATAAATACGTACGTTTTTTAAAAGTGTTTTTTTAAATTATAAGAAAATGCGATCTGAAAGTATATAACTCTATTCGATAATGTTTTTAATTACATTTTATGGGTGGCAATGGACAGCTAATAATAATAATAATAATAATAATATTAATAATAATAATAATTAATTAATAATTAATAATGATTACAATTTCTCTTAGTTGGCTTCATGATATATTACTATGCTCTTATTATCAATATTTATTGGAACACACACCACAGTATGTAAGGAGCATTTCTGAATTGCAGTATCTCTCTTTTTCTTTCTTTCTCATTCTCTTTTTCTTTTCCTTTTCTCACTTTCTTTCTTTTTTTTCTTTTATTATTTTTTTTTTTTTTTGTTATCGAAATCATTCCATTGATATTCGATCAATGTTCAATTGTGCCTTACAACGGAGCCTCCGTAATGTGATAAAGTTTATAAATAAAAAATACAGGTGTATATTCTTTCCTTTTTTTGTTTTTTGTTTTTTTTTTTTTTTTCCATATCTATAGCCAAGTTAGATGAAAAATAAATATTTGCTCATAATTTGTGATTACTGGTCAACCATGTGAGCCCTTCGTAAAGCCCATCTCCGGTTGTAGCGCATGATGGTTGAACGTACCAATTTCTATCCCGTATCCTAGTTAACCCCAACTTTTCTTGAATCTCATGGGGTTTCATCGCTAAATGTAAAATCATATTTTTTTTTAAAGGAAATTCTCTATGAGTTTCATTCATTCATTCATTCATGCTCATACATATTCTTATGAATATGAAGTATGATGAAAGATTATTATTTATAATGAAGCGTTGATTGTTTTTATTTTTACAGGATAAATTAACTTACCATCAGGAAGATCTTGTTTATTAGCAAAAATTAAAATAATAGCATCACGCATTTCTCTATCATTAATAATCCGATGAAGTTCTTGACGTGCTTCGTCAATCCTATCCCTGTCAGCACAATCTACTACAAAAATAAGACCTTGCGTTCCTGTGTAATAATGACGCCATAAGGGACGTATTTTATCCTGTCCACCTACGTCCTAAAAAATAAAACAAACCCACAATAATGAATATTAAACTTAGATGTTTAACACATTAATATTATTATTAGCTAAAAGTATTTTGAACTTTGACTTACCCAGACATTAAATTTAACATTTTTATAGGTAACAGTTTCTACATTAAATCCTACAGTCGGTATAGTTGTCACGGACTGTCCTAATTTAAGTTTATACAATATTGCTGATCATCAATAATTAAGGAAATTAAAGGACATCATTGTTGAATCAAGAAAGGTATCAATTAGATAATGTATTAAATGAAATTATAAAGGATACTAGTTTTTCCTGCAGCATCCAATCCCAACATGAGAATTCGCATCTCCTTGTTGCCAAAAATTTTGGACAACAACTTTCCCATCTTACCAGCTGCTTTCTAGGCACCTGCCACCTGGATTCCATATACTGTATAATATTAGAAAATACAAGACTTATCTTTCATTCATACAACAATATACAAGTAACAATAATCACATCATTATAATATCCTAATTTCATGAACTATTTTACAATATCATAATAATGAAAATATATATATATATATATTTGATGAAATGCAATTAAATGTTGCTAACAATTCAATAATTTATGTTGTATTATTTCAGAAAAGAAGGGAATTTAAATACACACTAATACCTAACCTATAAAAACTCATAACGTTCGAGGTAAAAAGAAAAAGGGTTGGAAAATAAAAATCCTACACCTCGAAGGTGTGTGTATCTATAAAAATAAAAGATAATCAATAATAGAATGATGAATGAAATGTTAGTTTTTTTTTCATTTTTCTTTTTTATTACTTAAGAGTAAGAAATGAGGATGTAATTAAAAGTAAAAAGGAAACGTTAGGAATAAATTGATAAAATAAAAAAAAGTTAAATACTGAAAGAACTACCTACAATGTGTGGGATGTAAAATTGTATGATAAAACGGATAGCAATGTCCTGATGATTATAATAATTAAATAACCCCTTTACCATATTAGTAATATAACAATAATGATGTTAATAATAAATGAATTTTAAATTGAAATGAGTATAATGAAAAGAATAACATAACGAATAAAATAGGATAAAGTATTTTATCTTCACCCACGCATTTTTTTACATGACAATCGATGACGAATTTGATTAAAGTATGTTGCAGTAGAAATTCTATCTTTTTCCTTAACTTTGTTGGTTATAATTTTTGTGTTCGTTCTTTCTTTCGTTTTTTTTTTTTTTTTAAGAATCAATTAACACGTTAGAGTCAATTTGTGAACTATGCACACATTATATATATATATATATATATGTTCATACATACATCATACATGCATACATACACGTAAGATATGTAATGAATGTTATATTTTCCTAGTGAATGAAATAGTAATAACTTACCGTAAAACATTTACAAAGATCGATTGTTTTATCGGCACATTGGTACATCACAACACGACACTGCACATAACTTTGTTATTAGAGTCTTTATTATAGTGCAGTAACATTACCAAAAACGTTATTTAGGCACTAAGAACATGATGATGCTACCCGCAAGTTCCAAGCAACACACGCGTGCAACTTGAAAGAATACGCAACTTCAGCTTCTAATACTAAATGCATATATATGCGTGTGTGTACGTATGTGTTATATATATGTATGTATTACTTATACATATACACTATATATTATATATTTATATGTATATGTTTTGTATATATATATATATATATATATGTATATACTAATTTTATATAAAATTCTAGGAACCATGTGCAACTTATACTAATATAATTATTTTAATTGCATATTTAAATTCTTTTTTTTTTCTTTTTATTTTTTTTTCAATCTTTTCATTCATTTGTAATTTATTCTTAATTATTTTATATGTACTTAGATGAGTGTGTATTTGCTTGTAATAATTGAAAGTTTCTTTGAGAAATAAAATGGGCGTGGAACGGAACGACTTAACGAATAATTGATTAACTATGTGTGCGTTACGGTTAAATTTATTCTTTTTGAAAATTCTTTTGAGATGTCTGTTTGTTTGTTTTTTTTTTTTTTTTAAAAAGATAGGTTTTTTCTTTTTATATTATTATTTTTATTTTTTCTTAGGGAATTTTTATTCGTTTGATAATGGGATTTTTTTTTTTCGTTTGATTATTAGGTATTTTCATTGAGAAATATTGTTTAGAACGTTTCATTCAGTTTTGGTTATTACTGATGGTAAAATCGCATGGGAAAATTCTTCTAGCGACATCTGATTTATATTTCTAAAAATAATATGTACTATTTCTTTGGTTAAGTTTATTTTATAGTTTTTATTAAGTCTATACAAAGTTAATTTAACATTTAAGATAAATTTTTGGTGTAATAACATTAAACATTTATTTAAATACTTTCAAATAATTGAGATAAATAAATAACGGTAAATATTAACGTGTAAATACCGTTACAAAATATTAACCGTTATGTGTAAACAAGAAAATGATTTCGAAATATTTTGAGTTCAGAAAACAATCGCGTAATAAGCGATAACAAAATTTGCATTGTAAGATATTAACGAAGTTGAAGAATTTGCAAATATAACTTAAGCATTTTTAACATTTTTATAGAGAGAATTTGATACCACAATTGATAGATAACATTATTTTAACTCATAAATTATTCTCGATAAAAAAAAAGAACAATATCTTGTTAGCAATTTTGTTGTCAGAGAAATTTAAAGAAAGTTTCAAAAAAGTAAGATATATAATTAATCGTTAAATTATAAACAATATGTCGTTTTATTTTAATTATACATTTATATAATAATCATCAATTATATTTATTATTATTTTTTTTTTGCAGGTTAGTCATCAAATAAAATTGAGTTGCATAATCGCAGTTTGAAATTTTGCCGCTAGTGCTGCTAGTTTGAATTTCATCTACGCGAGGCGCTTCAGTCGTACACGCTTTGAAAGGTAAGGAACAATCTTAATTGGTGCATATGCGCATGCGAATTACATATACATAACATACATGACATGTATATAATACATATTGTATTAGTATGTAACGATGTCCTGATAGAATGTGAGGTTTGATTAATCGATTGTATGTTTTTCGTAATATTTACGTATGAATATATATATATTTTTAAAATAAACTTTGTGGTAACGTCGTTCTATTATTTTACAGGTTTCTTCAAGGATAAAGGTCGCATTCCTGCATTTAAATTCCCCCAGCCTTTCACCTTTCACTTTGATCGTTTATCCTTTTCTTTTTTTTTCGGCACAGGTAAGACGCCATATTTAAAACTGTAGAAAATTCAAATATTTAACTAATAATAATAATAATAATAAAATGATGATAGAAAATAATACATAGCGTATAAATGTTAATTTATTTTTGTCTGTTTATTTTTTTGGTTTCATCGATGAAAAAGAATATAATAATATAAAAAAAAGAGATCATGAGAAAAAGGTGACTTTTGGAAATGTCAACACTTAACGATTCTCAATGTGGTGGTAAATGTGAAAGAACATTATAAGAAGATATGCTGAGAAGAAAAAGAAGAATTATATACGTGCCCGGATGGTTGGAGGGGCGGACAGACATCGATAAGAGAAATCGAATCAAGTTTATTGCTACGTGGAATTGTGAAAGTAAAGGTGTTGCGTTTATGTCGAGTTAGGTTAGGTTTTAATGGACAAGTTTTCTGTTCTTGCTTGCTCTTCCTGTTGTTGCATACCTGTTGCTCTCGCACATTCGTTTCGTTTACTTTATCGACAACCCATACATACACACACATACGCGTGCGCGTGTTCTCTTTATATTTCCTGTTAAAAAAGTTTTATTATCAATCGTTTGATAAAAAAAATTATAACAGATAATACTTAAGAGATAACGGTATTCCATTGTACAGAAAACATTCCTTAGTGTCAAACTAAAATTATCTCTTTGAACGATCATGGAGAATTTGAAAAGTCAACTCGTGGAACATGGTCAGGAACATCTGTTACGATATTGGAATGAATTGTCGAAGGAAGAACAAGACACATTGGAGAGAGATATTTCTGATTTAAATTTAATTGAATTAACATCTTATTTCGACAAAGCTACTGCATCCTTAAATGCAGTTAATAATAAATTAGATGATAAAATTAAACCAATACCGGATAGTAAGATTGTATTTGCTAAAGCATGTACCAATGAAGAAATACAAAATTATCGTTCCTTGGGATTGAAAGAAGTCGCAGATGGAAGGGTTGCAGTTTTGTTGTTAGCTGGTGGACAAGGTACTCGTTTGGGTGTCACTTATCCTAAAGGTATGTTCGAAGTTGGATTGCCGTCCAACAAAACTTTGTTTCAATTACAAGCTGAAAGAATACGCAGATTGGAAACTTTGGCAGAAGAATATTGTGGGAAAAAAGGAGAAATATTATGGTAGATATTATTTCATTGAATTTAATTATTTTATTATGATACGTGTGTATTATTTAAATAATTGTTAAATCAGGTATATTATGACCAGCGAAGCTACACACGATTCTACTCTCAATTATCTCAAAGAAAATCATTATTTTGGTTTAAAAGAAAATAACGTAAAGGCCTTTAAACAAGGTATGATACCTTGTTTCACTTTAGATGGAAAAATAATCTTAGATGAGAAATATAAGATTTCAAGAGCTCCTGATGGTAATGGTGGATTGTACAAAGCGTTGAAATTCGAAGGTATTTTAGACGACATGGTAAAACGCAATATTCGTAGTGTTCACGTACATTCCGTAGATAATATCTTAGTAAAAGTCGCAGATCCTATTTTTGTGGGATATTGTTTATCAGTTAAGACGGATTGTGGTGTTAAAGTTATAGAAAAATCTTCACCGTCTGAACCAGTAGGAGTTGTTTGTAAGGTACTTAAAAATAAGGAAAATTTGTTAACATTTTTTATATATTTTTTTTTTTTTTTTAGTAACATTTAAATCATTTTCCGTTTCAGATCGAGGATCATTATCAAGTCGTTGAATACAGCGAAATATCTAAGGAAACTGCAGAATTAAGAAGAGACGATGGTAGACTGGTCTTCAATGCTGCCAATATTTGTAATCATTACTTTACTGTAGATTTCTTATTGAAACTTGGTGATAAGCACGAGTCATCTGTTGATTTGCATGGTGCCAAGAAGAAGATTCCATACATCGACGAAAACGGAAAAAGATGCACACCAACGAGTCCTAACGGTATTAAAATAGAAAAGTTTGTTTTCGATGTATTTAAATTTGCTAAAAATTTTGCCGCTTGGCAAGGTGTTCGTGAAGAAGAATTTAGTCCTCTTAAGAATTCAGATTCGGCTAAACAAGATTGTCCATCGACTGCTCGTCACGATTTACTTCAGCTTCATAAAATGTGGTTGTTGAACGCAGGAGCTGAGAAAATTATTGGTGACGTTGAAGTTTCACCTTTGATTTCATACGCAGGAGAAAATTTACAAAATATTGCCCAAGGTCAATCATTTGATGGACCATTCGTTGTCGAATAATTTTAATCGAATTTGTTTTTTTTTTTTTTTTTTTTTTTTTTAACAGATCGCATTGAATAAGATTGGTTTTTTTGTTTGTTTTTATTTATAAGTATATTTGTATTTTTATCTTCAGTATTTCAATTTCTCTCTTTATTCAGAGAAATAATAGATGAATAATAGATAAATATTTATAATAATTTTGCAAATGAAAATTCAATCTTATAGTACAACATATTATTATTGGACGTAATTGAATCTTAATTAACGTATGACGATCGCAATATAAAGTTAAGTGGATTATTGCATTTTCTTTTTATCACATTAGATTATTTGATCGTTCACAATAATGCACGTTCAATGCAATGCTCTGATTTGATGTGAGATAAAAGAATTATTATTGTTTTTTTTTTTTATTGGCTTAACTATCTTAAGCAGCGTGCGAATTTTTTTTCTATATAAAACGTGTACAAAAAATTGCGATCTAGTCGATTATCAAGGATCAATGAAGATAAAGTATCATAATAAAATATCAAATGGTATCCATTGAAATATATATATTGATAAAATCTTTTTAATAAATGCAACATGATTGCTTATAGAGATGCGATAATAATATATATATAAATATATATATATATATCTAATATTATTTTAATGTTAATAATAATTGTTGATAATAATAATTCTTTAAAATTTTTTTTTTTTTTTTTCTTACCAATATTGATATTATAATGAATGGTCACTGTTTTATCAATGGTACGATAATCATTTTTTATCTTACTTTACACATTGGTTACCGTATTATCGATAAAGTAGATCACTGTTATTGAATATTTGAAAATATATTAAAATAATATGCAGGACGACGACACAACACACATTAGGAATATTTTTAAACATTTTTATTATTTTTTTTTTTTTGTTAATTTTCATTCATCTACAATATAATTATTTATGAAATTTGCGATATATATATATAAGATGTAATTAATTAATATATCATTAATTTATAATTTGTAAAACGTTCCATGTATTCGATTAATTAACAAATGAGAAATATTCGTATTAATACTTAATTAAGTAAAAACAAACATGATTTTACAAATTTGATAATATTTAAATAAAAAAATGAAAAAATGTGATCTATATATATATATATATATATA